AGCTCATAATAAAACATTATTTGGTAATAGCATATTATGCAACAAGTACAGTAAATGGCATTTGACTCAAGAGTTTATTTGACACGAGCGGAGCGAGTTCTTAATAAACGAGTGAGTTAAAAAGTTTATCGAACGTGTTGCATACTATACTTTTTCTACGACCATTAGTTTTTGGGTACATTTTCGCAAAAAAACACGAATAAATTCACTGACATGACCGTCAGAATAGACAAACGTAAAAATTCAACACATGGGAAATATTTCCGAAAACATCCGATTGCTCCCAAATCTGTGCGGTACAATCCCGGAAATGTCCGAAGTGGCTCGGATCCGTGGGAAACGAAACTGACGCGGTAAAATGGCTGTTCCCGCAGGCTAGATCGGTGTGTAATTAGGTATTTTACAGACTGGAGTAGAAAATTAGTATATTATGCAACAAGTGCGGTAAACGGCATTTGACTCACGAGTTTATTTGACACGAGCGTAGACAGTGTTTAATAAACGAGTGAGTAAAAAACTTTACAGAACGTGCTGCATACTATTCATGCATACAGCACGAATACATTTACTGACATGACCGTTAAAACTGACAAACGTCAAAATTCAAGGCGTGGGAAATGTCTCCAAAAACATTCGTCCAAAATCCGTGCGGTAAAATCCCGGAAATGTTCGAAGTCGCTCGGATCCGTGAGAAACGAAATTGATGTGGTGAAGTGACGCTTCTCGCATGCTAGATCGATGTGTAATTATGCATTTTACAGACGGGAGTAGAGGACCATAGCTATGACGCCCCCTTGCAGCATAGATATGAACATGAAAATTATTTTCAGTGTTTTTTTTTCAAATTTTAGTTATACAATTTTTTACCGCATAACTGTACAACTCGTAGTTTACGAGATACAATCGCTTATTTGCAAAGTGTTTTTGATTACTGGGATACGCTAGCACGTGTTTTCACCAGGGTGTTGACATCTGTGACGTTTTGGAAAAATAATGCAGTCAAAACGAGCAAGCAAGCGTAGAGTAGATGTACATTTGCAGATGTTAACGATTGTTGACCCTCACTGGTTTTAAATAACTAAATAGGTCACTGCGCGAAATAGTGTATTATACAACAAGTGTGGTAAATGGCATTTGGCACGAGCGGAGCGCCGCGGAGTAAACTCAAATAACCATAAGCCTTCTCCACAGCAATAAAAACCAAGCCGGGTTTAAGGTGTTCGTTTTTCTAGTATTTTGTTGGAGAGTGAAGATATTGATACAGGAGCTTCCAGTTCGCAAAACAGGCCTGTTCACCAATACCAGTTTATTCCGCTTCTATCCTCCTTTTCAAGATGCGACCATACAACCTTCTCTCTCTCTCTCTCTCTCTCTCTCTCTCTCTCTCTCTCACCCTTTATACATATGGAGCTAATATGTGCTAAGTTCCAATCGAATTGAATATTGCGACATCCATATTTCACCAGCCTTATAGAAATGTCTCCCGGTCCTGAAGCTTTTCCGTTCTTCATTTCATTCGATTATGTAACTTCTTCTAGTAAGTTTTCATCTTCTATCACAATATCGTTCATTTTGCCAGAAATTCTATCCTATTTTCTGTCAATAGTGATTTTTAGTGTTCTTGCCATTCATTCAGTTCCAATTGAGTTAACTTTTCTTATGTAGTTTTTTTCTTTTCTCAGATTTTTCAAAAACTTCCAGGCCTATCTTACTACTCTAGTTCCTCCTAAGTATCTTTCCACGTTTTCACCCATTTTCTCGTACATTTCATTCTTTCTCTTGGCAACTTCTTTTTTCGTTTGTCCGCTTAGTTGTAAATTATGGGTTTTCTTCTGCTCAGCCTATTCCTTTGGTTTTTCCAACCACCACACCGGCTGTCTTCCTTAGTCTCTCTGGTTCCGCCCCAAAGGTTCTTTTCCTTCATTTCTGCAAGTTTGGTCGCTAGCCTCAGTTTGCGTAAGAACTCAACCGATTCTTGTGCTGCGTGCTTTGGAGTGATCTTCCTAATTTTTCAACGTTCACCTATTGCTAAAATTTGTTTTCATGCCACCAGCAGATAATAGTCCGATGCAAATTAATATATTAACTGACATAAAAATAAAATAAATCTGGCAGATTTGTGATTTCCTTGGAAGAATATATCCCGTATGTTTTCTATGTTGTTTTCAAATATATTCAGTTCTTCGGTACAATTTTCTTTATCTGAAACACCTTTTGGAAAATGTCTAACAGAAAAATGAATATTCGTATCGTAGAAGCTTGCATCTTTTGTGATTGGTTATTCAGACGTATTAATTTTGTTATTTGTGTTAGTTTTGGTTAGTTTATATACTAATTTATACCAATAACATAATAAAATACTAGTAATAATAATAACAACCTGCTTTTCAAATCGGTATCAACAACCGTTAGCACTATGGAAGCCAAATTTGTAAACCTACTGTTTTTCCAGAACCTCACAGGTTCTCACATTCGGTGTCCACACACGCTGGCATCTGTTGGCATCTGTAAATATGGCACCCAGTACTATATTTTTGCCAGTGTATACCTAGCTGTTTTTGCAACCAACCGCCTCATTAACTTTGCCTACTGTTTATTAATTCAAAACCGCAGCCCCCTATAAAACACCCTGCCGAGCAGACCCTTACCCGTAACCATTCCATAACCGTCCTAGAAATTTATTTACCTACACTAACAAGCGGAATGTAAGTATGTTTTCCATCTTTTTCGCAGAGCAATTCTGGAAAAATGTATATACAAAAATTACTACACACCCAGATAGCACACAATATCCCCAGAACATCTAGTCAATGTCCCATTTCAGTCGCATGTTCCGGGGTATGTGGAGGATATTCTTAGGATATACGTTAACATATATAGTAAGGATATACTGTAAAATATATCCCAGGAATATCCTATGAATGGATAGCTTGCGGATTTACTGTACACGATATATCACCGACATCCTCTAAATAGATGGCCTGAGGATATCCCCTTGCGCCATAATGGGATAATTAGAATAGAAGTAAGGGAAAAAAGTGAAAAACCGTAAAACAAAATGAAACCTAAAAAGTTAAATTTTGAACAACTAACAAGGAAAATACTTGGTTTTTTTAGATTTGTGGGGTTTTGAGAGACATTTTATTGGCAACGTTTTTGTGCACATCTACATCGACGTCAGTGTTGGCAAGCCCTAAAAAAAAACGGAATCAAACCGTTAAAGTCAACTTGTTTTTATTATTTTTGGACACGAATGAGACAAGAAACGCTATTTTAATAAAAATACCACAGAAAATACGGATTTATCCAAGTAAAAAAATTACAAAAAGTTAAAAATAATTTATTTGTTTATAAGATCCCATTTGACAACACTGTTCGGCTGCAACCAATTACTCGCGGTCGTGCCGTGCCGAACTCGGTCGAGTCTCGTCTGCTTTTCCTCCGTTTCGTCGGGAAAACCACAAATGCTATAGTGTGCATTTGTCCACATCACAAGAGGAACCGACGACGAACACCCGAAAGCGGCCGAAACATTTATCCAAATAAATTTATAAAATGCGGTTAAATTATTTTACTTTAGTTAATTATCTATATAGGTGATTTCAATTATACAGTGTACTTACAAACAAGATAAAATTAACAGTTTACGAAACAAAGTAGAGGTTATTCGACATAATAGAAAGAACAACAATTTACGCTATTATTTAAGCTAAAAAAAACTTACAAAACTACAACTTATACATACTACAATGAAGGTAGGAATTTCATTGGCACCTAAGGAATTTTTTTTACAATTTGACCTTTTAAAATAGGTATCTCTAGGTAATGGGCCCTGTTTTTTTTCTAAAGTTTTGATGCAATTTAAATTTTTTTATACTTGTTGGCTGGTTAATTTTTTGCATAATCCAAAGTGTTTTAATTGACAACCATATCATCAAAATAGTCGCAGCTTATTGAATAAATTTAAAAACAATCAATAATTTTGGCTGAGAGAACAATTGGGCACCAGTTTTTATTAACCTTTCATGATTCGTGATAATCGCCGTAAGGAATTTTGCGAGTTAAAGGTTACTATGACCCCAATGATTTATTTAACATAAGAACCTTTAAACAAACACATTTATGATAGGTTTGGCTCTTTGATTAATTTTTCTCTTTTTTCTCTTGACTATCCCATCAGCAACAATTTTTCTTACAGTTTGGTCATGTCACTTGTTTTTATTGCCGCTCCTACTTCCCCTTCTGTAGACATTTTTTTATTTGCTGAGGTAGTTCGTCTTCTAAATTGTCATTAGGTTCGACTACCATCTTCACTTCGTCTTCAAATTCTGCGTTGTTTTCCATGTCTTCTTCTAACAGCGAAACATCCGTGTCATTCCACGGTATCCACATTTTACAGTTCAAAAAATGTTTATCTGTATTCTTATGACGTACCTTTATCTACCGCGAATATAATTTGTAGTCTGGTTGTTTACAAATCGAAGAACTATGGAGAAGACACAAAAATACAAGAAGAAGAATGTTGTTAATCGACAGGCACACAAGACAAAAATGATTATTTTCCAACTTCCCTGTAAGATAAGTAGAGTACAGGTACTTAACATTACCCTTTGAACTCTCCAGTGAATACAGCCTCGCAGGGTGAAAGCTCGAGAATCAGGTACATAAATACTGCAGAAAACATCTGTTGCGGTGGGTTTTACCACGGTTCTGCGAAGGTCTGCGGTTAATGCACTGTAAAATACTTAAAACATCAATGCAATAAATGAACTATATTTTTGGTCGTATTATACCGTTAGTTCTAAAAATACTATAAGTTGGCAACCCTACCTGGTACAGTTACTTATTACGCTTAAACACATCCACGAGACAGAAGATTTCTCGTGGTAGAAAAACGAAACAAATCGAGATTCTGGAACGCGGAGCGGCGCAGTAAATTCTCCGGGCACGAGGAAATTCGCGAATTCGCCGAACTCGAATCAGTCTTCCGCCAACGCCGGCATCGAACGCGTCGCGACGACAGCCGACGGCCGCCGCATCGAGGACCACGACACGTAGGCAACCGGTCGGTAATATTTTGAGAATTTTCCGCGATTTTTGAATCCGACTCGCCCGCAATTTACGATGTGCAACCGTGCGAGACCCGGCAGCGGTTCGTCTCGGTTTACGCGCTGAGCAAACATCGTGGCGAACAGCTGATTTACCGGGCTTAAAAATTCGCCGATGGAAAACTGGAACGATGGCAGGCGGGGCGAGTTTCTTTAAGGGTTGTTCCTGTGCCGATGTCTGCGAAGGTTGGCGTCTTTTCTATCTAGTCCCGATCCCGTAATTCCGGCAGATAAGTTTTAGAAAGTATAAGTAATACCGATAGATATACAGTGTGTCCCTCTTAAGATTTGTATCGTGCTTTCAATTTATCTTGATAACATTTTAATTGGCTGTAACTTTTTTGTTTTTAGAGATATGAAGGTAAACATAAAAAACAAAATGTAGTTAGTAGTCAAGTTTGTTTAAAAGCGACGTATAAAACAAAACGCTATCAATTTTCTGACATATAACACCCTGTATATTATATACGTGTTTCCTAGAATATCTTATTCCGATTACAACGGTGTAACACACTTTACATTTTAGTCCATTTTTATATAATTTCAAAGAGTGCTTCGACTGACAAATAAAAATATGTTTCACGTTGATGGTTGAATTATTGTCCAAGTCATGATTGTTAAAATGGTTTTTCAAGTATACTTTCTGAATAATAAAAGTGCAACCGCAGTTCGTCGTCAGTATATTAGAGTTTATCCAGAGCGCCGATATCCTTCAAAACAGGTATTTGCAAGGTAAAGAAATTTGCAAAAAATGGTAACGTATTAAATGCTAAAAAGGTATGCCGAATCATAATGTTTTAAATGAATAAAATACGGCAAACATATTAGGATTCTATGAAGCACATGCACTTTCCTCTATTACTAGAGTATATGAAGAGACAGGTATTTCTCGAGGATCCATCCACTCAGTTGAATTAATATAAATATAATGCATTTAAATTTCGTAAAACTCAAAAACTAAGTGCAGATCAATGTCACGTCATAACAAGAATAATAATTTTTTGAACAACATATTATGGACTGATAAAAGTTCGTTCACTACAAAGAATAGTCTTAAAATAATCCTAGACAAATACAAAAAATAAAAACCCAGGGGCACCAATCAATTAATAATGGTGTCATAGATGGGCATATTTTGGGTCATTATTGGCAACTCTTAGAGAACCAAAAAGAGCACTATAGAGAAGATTTACCTCTTAATATATCAGCACTGATTATATGGCCGCAAGACGGTGCTCCTCCTCACAATGTTGTGCAAGTCAAAAGTCTTCTTAACATGAGGTTGGATAGGGAACGGCGAAACTATGGATTGGCCAGCCAAAAGCCCGCACTTAACTTAGTAGTTAAGGATTTTTTTCATAAGTGTGTCTTTGCCGTTTTAGTGTTCTTATTCTACTATAATTTGGAAATAATTATTGTTGTCAGTGTTGAAATTATATAAAATTTTCCTATTTTTGCCGATTTGTCACTAAAATATAAAGTGTGTTACATCATTGTAATCGGAATAAGATATTCTATTTAAAAGATATATAATATACAGGGTGTTCTATTTAAAAAATATGATGTACGCTTATATATCAGAAAATTGATAGTATTTTGTTTTATGCGACGCTTGGAAAAAAACTAGGCTACTAACCCTACATTTTGTTTTTTTGTTTACCTTGCTATATCTAAAAACAAACAAATTACAAATTGAAATTGAAATTGAACAAATTGACCGCGCGGTATATCCTTGTGTTTCTTTTTCCATTAACCTAGTAGTAATTTTTGATGTCAAATATCGAGTAGGGCTATTAGGGATTTCTTTAAGAATATAATGTCAACGAATTCTTATTCAAGACTATATAAAACATAACTATACTAATTTCCATGAGGTTCGCTTAAGCTTTACTCCTGTGGAATATTTTTTTATTGCTCAAGTTTGATCATTCTTCTTTGCTGGCTAGACCTTACTAACGAGAAATGGACGGGCTTTTTCGTATAGTATCAACTAAAGTCATCGCTGACTGAGTCGGTTTTTTGAAGAGGAAAATTGAGAAAATTGGAGATTCGTGTTCAGGACTACCTAAAAATAACTCGAACAGTGACCAAAATTTTTAATGTTATGAAAAAATTTATATTTCAAACTTTGTAAATTTTTAAGATTTTATAAATTTTAGTTAAACAAATTTCAAAAATAATTGTAATAAAAGATTTTTTAAGGGACATTAATTTTTTAGTAATATCTTAAAATAACAGCATTATAATGTAAACAAAATTAACATATAAATTGGCGAGTGAATTTGACTGTCGAATATTCGCAAACTTGGTTTTACAAAGGAAACAGTATGCCGACGTCAATCAATTTTTATATTTCTGTTATTTTTTTTATTAAATGACAATTAAAACTCTTTTTGAATTAAAAAAATACAACGCTGTAAAGTCTGTTTAGCTCACATCTAATCCTTTCTAATCATATTTAAGTTTAAGAAAATCAGTGAAATCTATCCAACAAAAAAGATTTATCAAAATTGAGTCATCAGCAATCCTTCTATAGGAATAATGGAATGTAATGTATTAAAACTTCAAGGAAATTAGTATAGGCAGGTTTTATGCAGTCCTGAATAAGAATTCGTTGACACCTTATTCTTAAAAACATCCCCAATAGCCCTTCTCGATATTTAATATCAAAAATTTTTCCCAGTTAACCAGTTTGATGTAATAGGAAACAAGGTTTTAGTGCGTTTTTGAGAGATCCATTCAACAAAAAAAATTATCTCTAATAGCACTTCTGTCTGCTCTCTCTTTTGTTAAATTGTCTCAGTTGGAGCAATAAGCAACACAAGACTTCAGTGCATTTAAAATGATCAAAATCGAACCATAAACAAACATTTTACAAGGGTGTACAGTTCATAAGTGGGACCACTCTAAATAATAAATTCATCTCAAATTAAATTCGTCCTTAGAATAGCTTGAATCTGTGCTATCACTATCATACAAAGATATGGGTTTACCATGTTCCAATTTTTTTTATATAATAAAAGCCACAATTTTTTGGGTTTATATTATTGCGTCTAACTTTGGTTTTTAATTCGGGACATATCATTTTCATCGGATTCAAATCGCTGATCTAAGGGGTATATTACCGGGTTTTTTATGATCCCGTCTACAAAATAAGTTTCAATTTCAACTATTTTGTATAAGTATATTCGAAATACATGTAGACTAAGGAACTCCACATTCCATAGTTCGTTTTTGGACTCAAAATTGATGAATTTGAGCTAAATATTTTTGTCACCATTCCACCAATCGTTGGATATTCTTAATGCAACTGCGCTTGGCAATACAATAAAATAGATGTCGCAATGTTCACATAAATTGCAATGATAGTGTTTCGTATTTCCGCATTTTAGCTAGAGTCACTCTACATTGCATATAACTGAAAGACTAGTTTGGTGAATGAAAGTAATGTGACAGCAGCGTTACTGCAGGAAGTTTATTAAAACAATCAATATATTTATAATTATACATGAAAAATATATATTCTAAGAAAATAAATAAAACCTTATACAGAGTGATATACCTATAGGCCTATTTGCCGTATGTCAAGAAAGATTAATTTCAATATTCTGAATTTTGATGAGTGTAAATGAGTTGTGCACTTTTTTTTTCAAATATATAGGATGTGTCATGTAACCATGGTGAATATCAGTTTTGTAATTTTAAACGGAACACCCTGTATGTTGTTACATTATTGCACTGAAAACAAAAATTTTAATAAATTTTATTTGAGGCGCCCCCTGCTCAAAACGTATAGGTTCTGGGCTGATTAATAATTTCTGCAAAAAATGTCAGACGCAGCACTTTGCTTATGAGTAAGATTTATACGGGAATAACTTTCACCACGGAGTTGTCTATAAACTTTCCTTGATCATTTCATAAAGCCATAAAAACTGTAGAAAAAAAATGGTTACTTATTGACAAGTTTTACTGATAATATTTTTTGTCCGATTGTAATGTGGAGGTTGCAGTAATTTTTCATTTTTCATAAAAAAAACTAACATTATCCTATATATTTATGGACATTTTTAGGTATCAGGAGAATTTGATAACATTCCTTTATATCGATGAACAGCTTACCCCTAAATTTTTTACTGCATTATGCATTATAAAAATACAAGCGGGGCATTAGGGTTTGTCCATATTAAAATGAAAAAAAATATATAGTAAATGAAACTTCATCATTTTTGGTACATTCCCTATAGCTTTAGGAAATGTTCAAGGACAGCTATTGACAGCTCCATGGTCCAAGTTATTCCTCTATAAATCTTGCTTCTAAGCTGTTTACCGCTACTGAATATTGTAATTTGAAACAAAATACAAAGAATAAAACATAAAAACATCAGGAATTGTTCGTTTTAGATAAGAATAATATAAAAAAAGATAAATTGCAATAAATATTATTGCTTTGAAAAATCTACTCTTCACAATTCGCAACTTCGTTTGATAATTTTAGTCATTGTAGTTCGAGTGGTTGGATGAAAAGAAGTGCAAATAAAATAAGGTAGCAAAATATTCTTTAAGTACGCATAGTTCTAGAGTCACCAATATTTGCTTGACGGCTTTCGTAAAGTTTCCGTCTTTCCGTCTTGCACATTTCATGTAATGGGCAATTCTGTAATTTTATTTTGCCTATTTCAAGTAATAAGCAGAAGTTTTAGCAGAAGCTTAGCTTTTAGTCTTAGCAACCGGTTAAAACCGGTATACCGAGTTACAAACATGTTCTATAAAGAACTTTTTATTCCTTCCAGAATATCGATCGAGTCGTAAAAAAACTATTTAATGAAAGATAAAAGCCTATAGTTTAAAATATATATATATATATATATATATATATATATATATATATATATATATATATATATATATATATATATATATATATATATATATATATATATATATATATGATGACACTATATTCCGGGATATCATCCGTTCGCTCGTTGAACTCCGACTGGAATCCTGCATCCGACTGGAATCCTGCAAATCTTGCATCCGACTGGAATCCTGCAGACGTTTCGCCAAAATTTCACTTGGCATCTTCAATGCTCGCGCTCCGAAAACACTTCGAACACGGAGCGCGAGCATTGAAGATGCCAAGTGAAATTTTGGCGAAACGTCTGCAGGATTCCAGTCGGATGCAA